GTTTTAGAGTACTACCACTACAAGATTCAATAGCGACCTAAAAGTTTTGGTCCAAGTCTCCACTGACTACAATGTCAACACAATGGGTCAGTATTGAAGTGCTAAGGATTTGAGTAATAATTCTCTGTGTGATATCAGGGTGAGATAGCTAAAAAATGTTTATTCAGAAGAAGAATTTAAATCAGTTTCATGAACCTAGTTTTCTCTAAGGAATATAAAGATAATGGAAAAGTAAAAATGTACAAAAACCCCCAAACCTCAGAAATCATCAGTCTGTAGCAATGCAAGCAAAAGATTATAGTTGTAAAATCGTATCAGTTATGTAACAAACTGAGAAGCCAAATACCTCTTGTTAAAGCCTCCTACTGAGCAGCTAATCTCTATAAAGCTTTCAGATGATCAGTGTTGTATGAAACATTGTTATACAGATTAGCTCAGCTAACCAGACAGAAAAGTCCAACCTTCCCAAACGGTTTGCTAGTCGTGCAGCCTTCCAGAGTCATGTCAATACAGACATTGTAAGTTGGGTAATTAGCATAGGAGATGGTTAAATAATTTAAGAATCAGTTCCAAATACAGATTCTTAAAAGCCCTGCTCCCTTGTCCACCAAATCTAGGCATACTAACACTCTTGCAGTTAAATTATCTGGTCACCATTGGACATGAATGCAATCAAAATCTCGTAAGTGACCATCTTACAAATAAAATCTACAGGAATAAAGCATGCCCATGCAAAGACCTCTTTCTGCAGAGCTGGGTTTCAGAGAAAACTGCAGTATTCACTCTAGTGAACACAAGCTGATAATATAGTTTTACCTGGGATAGAGTTCCTTTCCTTACTGTAGCTGATAAGATTGTTGTTTTGATTCTTGCCAGCAGATGTTTACATTTTTCGAGGTTTATTTTCCAGTTCCCTAAATAAACCAAGTCTGCATTATTGAAGTCCAGAGCCTGTATTCTGCTACTCTCCTTCGTCACGCCCTTTAGGATCTTGGAACTCTATTATTTCAGACATTGACTATCACATCCTCTTAGATCTTCCTTGTTGACAAGTAGTAGATCCAGCTCTGTGCCACCCTTAATTGTCCCATCCAGAAGTGTGCCCTGACACCCTTGAGAAATCTTCAGTGTTTCCATCCTGCCATGTTTGTCCTTTCAGCAGATGTCAGGGACACTGAAGTTTCCCTCTTTCAGACCTATCAGACTCTTCGGAGTTGTCCGCAGAGATTCTGACATCCTTGCCCATTTGCAACCCTAAATACTTTAAGATTCTTTGCTACTAAACTCCTATGTCCAGAGGAAATCAAACCCCAACCAAAACAAACAAAAAACCTCTCATTTTTTTCAAACTTTCTAATTTTTATGCAAAACTAATTCCAGTTTTTAAATTATCTATCTCACTTTGTTCACTAAGCTCAACTATAACTATTGATCCTGCCTTCTTTAAAGCAGCTGAATATAATGAATTCATAGCTTTCTTCTCTCACCTGCGCAAAAAGACTTAAGACCCTGTCCCCTCCAACTCCAGGAGAGAAAATGAAAAAAAGAATGAGGCATATCTGACAACCATGAATCAATCTGCACAACATGGGGATGCCCATATGTTATGTAATTGGCGTGGTATGACAAAATAAATATATTCCCTGTTCCTTCTGTTCAGGTTCATCCCTTTTAGTCTAGATTTTATGAAATGAAATTCTGTTCAATTTAGTCATGCTCTTTTAATGCTGAAGGCCTACCACACAATGGAGTTCAGAAAAGCCACTGTCTTTCATCATCTTTCCGAATTTCTACAAGGAAAGAAATTCATCCCTTCATCCTGCAGCATGTCTATGTCTGGTTCACACTCTCCTTTATCATCTTAGCTTGTTTGCTCTTATTTATCACATGGTATGTTTTTTTGGGTTGAGACAGAAGATGTGTGCATGGATTAATTGTATGCCAGAGCTTGCTGAAGGTCTGTTCATAGTTTCATTATTATTTTAATCTGGATCTATGAATAGACATAGCATGTTATTATTTAATGAAAGATTTAAGGATGCTTTACAGAAAAAGAAAAAATGTTTTATCCAATAAAATAAACTTTTAGGTCTAACTTTGTCAACTTTGAGTGGCCTCATGAAATGGGATGTGCTACAGAACTATGCTAACCAAGGCGCTAACACCCATATGCACTATGCTGCAAAACTGTTTTCTTAATAAAACTACATACTACAATCATGTTATGTTTAAAATTTTCATTAAGCACAAACTCTCTTCAGAATTGTATTATAAAAATATCTTTTAAATGTTTATCATATTTTTCTAAATATGTTTACCAATCTTAGAAAGAATAAATTTTGTTTCTTCTATTAATTTGAAATCGTTAGTATTTTATTAGCGTTTAAGATTCTAATATTGTTAACAGGGATAACATCTTAATGTATTTTTTTTAAAACTTTCACTGAATACTTTTAAGGTATAAGTTAGAAATAGAATATATATTATTATTAAACATAGTAAGTAGTACCTCTACATAGTATACCTAGAACACATAATAAATAAATAATCATCACAGCTGATAGAGACTAGTATTTGCCAAATAACTGATGACTGCATAGGATAATATTTCACAATTAGCTTTAACCTCTTCCCAGTAATAGGAATGTTTAATTGGATAAGTAGGATATATATGAATCAACTGACGTCCTAAAAAAACAAATACTTGTCAAGCTTGGAACTCAAGAACCACAAAAGCCTATTACTGAGAATATAGTTACCTCTCTTTTTCAAACAGTAACCAAAACTTGGAGGCATAAGTGTTTAATTCCTTCAGGAAAAGAGTTTTATGATGGTGACCATTTTTTCTGTAACTGTTACCCTCGTTCTTTACAAATGGTATTTCCTTAGACGTGGGAAAGAACCGTGATGCTTCTAGACTCTGAACATGCAGTTAACGCCTATACTTTTTCTTAGACTTTTCTTAGAGGCTACCAGTACATCTCTGGATGTTACTTCTGGTATCTACAGAGTTACTTCTTGTCTTGACAGATATACTCTATTAAAGCAACATCCAGCAAAATACCTTCACCATTCTTAATGACCTCACACATACTTTTGCTGAGGATTGTGACATATGCCTGTACTTTGCACAAATGTTCTTACTGTTCTATAGTTGAGTTGGGTATTTCCCTAGAATTATTCCAAATGAGTGAGGGCATTACAGTTCAGTCACTATTTAACTGTGTATGTCAGGAATACAGATTCTTTAACAGAAAATTAGGAAAACCCTTATAAACAAGGCATTTATAATCCACCCTGTGAAAGAATGTAAGCCTGCACTACTTGAGCTGCTTTTCCACTGCTGTTGTTGCCAAGGCAAAAGGACAGTCTGCCTCAGCAGATCCAGGCATAGATGCCTTCCTCACAGATAACTAGGAGGAGACAGGAGTTCCTATAAGTGGAGTTTCTGATGCTATTTTTTTTTTGTCCTGACTGATATTAGAGAAGAAATATCCAATTTCATACAAAGAAATGAAACCATGGAATCACAGAATGGTCAGGGTTTTAAGGGGCCTCTGAAGATCATCCAGTCCAATCCCCTGCCAGAGCAGGATCACCTATATTCAGGTGGGTTTTGAATGTCTCCAGAGAAGGAGACTCCACAACCTCTTTGGGCAGTCTGGTCCAGTGCTCTGTTACCCTCACAGTAAAGAAGTTTTTCCTTATGTTTAAGTTGAACCTCTGTGTACTTAGTTTGTGACCATATAATTTTAAAAACTCCTTAAAAATATACACCTGAGCCACACAGAAAACAATTTTAAGTTATTCATGTTCTCTGTGATTCATGATGTACAGTCACTAAGTGCACATCTTCCAGGTGAACTGCATAACAGAAAAATTATACGTGATCTAAGATGTTCTGCACTGTAATCTGCATGACAGTAACAGTGCTGAAAAGAATTTATGTGGGGGAAGAAACTTGACGGGCATTCAAGCACTCGTCATATTATTAAGTGGCACTTAAAATTAACCTACTCTTTCTTTATAGTAACAGAAAGTATAGAAATGCTTCTGTAAAGATAAAATGGCCTTCATTTACTGACAGAGGCTTAATAATGATAGATAATAGGAACTTTAATACAACACTTTCTCCAGTAGCAAGGACACAGCCATAGTAATTTACTATTATTGCTTTTCTTGCAACAAGTCTATTAAAATCATCTGTGTATCATGACTGCAAGTTAGGAACAAATTAGCTTCAATAGTCACTGATGCATTTTATTGCATTCTGACTAAAGATACATCTTGCAGACTTCTGAGTTACCCTTTCAATCTACTACACACAAAAATACATTATAAATATTAAAATATACAAGACGGAAATTTATTAAATTTATTTCTGAATAATATAGTCGCTTAGCCTCAGGCACAAAGTAGTAATAATTACCTCTGAGCTGTAATTAATTGGGCAAAAAAACTGATAAATTTTACTTGCCAATAAACAGGAGAAGGAAGCTAAGAAAAACGAGCAACTGTCAGCAATATTTCAAGCAACCTGGTCTAGTGGGAGGCGTCCCTGACCATGGCAGAGGGGTTGGACTTGATGATCTTTAAGGTCCCTTCCAACCTAAACCATTCTATGATTTTAACACTAAGAAATTCTGTATAAGATAAAATTACAGTGAACACATTTATAAAATATAAACTAAGCCAAGACTATGAGATAACAGTATCATACATTCTCCTAGAATGGTTAGAATTCACCTCAATATAAGGTATTAACAACCTCAGTATTTTAAAGATTACTACCAATACAGAAATTACAGATTGGGAAGTATGTTCAAAGGTAGATATTTCTTATATACTTTCAACAAAAGTACAAGTTACAGTTATGAAGGAAGAAAAAAGAACTATCTATTACGTACAGAGAAGCTGATATACATACAAAATAAATGAAGTAGTAAGGCATGGAAGATAAGAGAGTATGAAAAGAATGGAAAATTAAAGAGGATACTTACTGGGGAAAACCACATCACTTTAAGAATCCAAATTGTCAAAGAAAAATTAACAACTAGGATGATAAGCAGGAGGAGAACAAACAGGTAGAGGCAACGCTTTCTCCAGCCATAAATTCCAATTTTGTAGACATATTCATTCTTCGGCCTCTCTAGGCTAGTGCCTGGTGTTGTTGTAGTGTATTGTTCACGTACCATCTGCTATGGAAACAAAAAAAGAGGACTGCTTAGTTTTTTGAGTTAAATTAGAAATATTTCTACAAAACCCCAAGGAAAAGACAAAGATGCAACTGTAATACAAAGTTACTAGAAACTAGGAAGTTTTTCAGAATTTTATCTGGAAAGCATTTTCATCATGACCCATTCAAATTAACTTACATCTTACTTTTTGGTACACACAATGTGATGTTTTAATATATCAACTGCATCAATTACCATTTTCAGGAGGCTTAAATTTATTTTATCCTATATAGAATGGCAACACTTCCCTCCCATTTTTCATAATATTCTAATTCTCCCATCACAAAATATTTCCTAGGAACATATAATAATCTGTGGCTCACAGAACAATATTATTTTACTGTAAAAATAGTTACAAGTTGTAACAGTACCTTGTAAGCACAGGTTTAAAAACACTTCTACATATTCTTTCCTCAATTCAGTAATAAAATGCATTCTTTGTGTTGCAAAACTTAACTGTGTATCACTGGAATGCCAAAATATGTTAAGCTTCAGAATCTGTATATAAAGAAATGAAATGGTTCTTAATACTGTAAAGGAAATAATGACTTCTCAATTTATCAGATATTTGCATTTAAAGATATATTAGCAATAAAAACATTACTTACTGGCTTTAAACAACTTCCTTTATTTTATATTGTAGTTCTTAAAAAAAAATCATGATTTGAATTTAAAGAAATCTTACCAGACTGCACTTCCTTAAAACATGATATTCACTAACTTCCATCCTTATGGCACAGACATCAGCAAAAATTCAAACCATTCATTAAAGCTTACAATTTCAGCCATGAGAATAAAATCTCAGCAGCTGAAGCTTCTCATCTAATAGGCAACAGCTGTCTCATTTCCACTGATACATTAAAAAAAAAACACAAACCAAATAAAAACCAAAAAACAACCATGGATGTAAAAAAGAAAATAGGTATTGTAAGTTCAAGCACTTCCTATGAGCCAGGTATATCCACAGGCATCTTACATCCAAAAACTGGTTAACTTTCCCACAGTATAATTTTCCCAAATGACAGGGCCTTTAGACAAGTTTCACACAGTCTCCTCTCAATTCTGAATTTACTCCTGGGAATGAGATTGCTGTGCTCTGCTCACATAACTTTCAAAACATAATTAAATTACATCCTTGGCCAGCTGCTGAATTCCTCTAAGTCATTAAAGAAGCTCTTTTCAGGTCTTCTGCAGAGTCATCCCGTGCCTCTAACAAGCTTGTGGCTCTCTGTTCTAACCCTCATCTTTAGAACGGTGTCATCTTTTGTTCCTGTAGCTTCCTATCAAACTACAAGACAGAGAATGCAACGAAAATTTACAACTGAACAGAAGTTTGTGCATTATCTCTTTGCATGTGTGCAGTACTCATCTCATTTCTGCACTTCCACTCTTTTTATTTGTTGTTTCTTTATATTAAAAGATGAAACTTGATCATCGGCAGTTTATAATGTAACTGTGCTACAGCCATTATGGGACAATATTCAACTTAATTTTTTGCTGCTATCAGTCTCAGTTCTTGTGATACTGTATATATAAATCTTTTCATCTGCTGAATGTAATGAAAATAATATAATGATTTATTAGTGGAGAATCATAGCTTCTGAAATAACTTGGCTTAACTTTATTGCAAAACATTGTAGATTTACAAGATGTCATTTAATATTCACCACATGAACTATGTTTAAAACTATCAGATCATATTTTTCAGGTCCATGTATTAGTTAAGCACTGATTATAGCATAGTGTTTATATGTGAGTTGCTACTATTTTTTGCTGCTCTTCCGCTAATCGTTGTATAACAAACTGCATCACTCATGTAGAAGTTGCCCTCTGTCTTAAAACTACTTTACCATGCTCTGCCAAGAAAGAAATACTGGGACATCTATACATACAATGGGTTTCATAAAATGCTTAGAAAACCCTTTACCCCTGTTTCCACACAGATTTCTCCTGAACGCTGTAACTTACAGGATAGGATGCAGTAACTGCTACCTGGTGACGCCAACAGATACACTTGGAGAAATAACCTGTGCAGTACAATGGTCTAATACCCTAAACATAAGACTGTCCTCTGAGTTTCTTACTGTTTCCTTCATTACACATACTTGTTAAGGGTCAGTTTAACAAGAAACAAGATAGATGATAGCTACAGAAACTTCTGCCCCTTGTGAAGACATGACAGACTGCCTTTTTTTTTTTTGAAGAGATAAATAAAATACACTTATAAGAGCACTTAAGAGGTTATTTCAATAAGACTGTGGAAAAATGGACCATTCTTCAGAAACTGCACAGTCTCGTGATGTTACCTGAGCCTTCGACAACAAATCTCTAGCTGTGGCACCTAAGGTTTGCCTGTTCCTTGTGTTGCTGTCTGCCACATCTTCAAGGTAAATTTTGGAGGAGAAACACCATTTGATAAAGAGTAAAGGAATTCTCAGATCTTTGTGTTTTTATGTCAGTCTCATCACAGTGGTCTCTGAGGCTGGCATTCATCTCTCAACATTAGATACCAACAATTTAGCCTTCTTATCTGGGCCAGTCAACCTGGACTCTCTTTACGGACAGTGGGGATAAACCTACCCTTGCTGGGAATTATTTGTCTGGCTTATTTTAGATGTGTATTTTAGACATTCAAGGAACTGCACCTTAGATGTATTTAACTTCTTTTCACAAAAAGAGAAGAGAGCCTGGGATGACTTTTTCATATGTACATACCTACATGTTTAAGACATAAGCACTTGGTCAAATTAATTGCAACCAGAATGATTTCCAGAAGGATGTAATTTAACAAGATAGGATTCTTTTGACTCCTGTTCTCCGCTGTTCCATTTTTAACCTGTTGTAAAATGTTTATTGTGTGTGTTGAGGGTTTTATACATAATGTATTATGTACTGCTGTTTAATGAGGCGAGGGCAAAATCCATTATGCATTTCACCAAAAAGCCTACGAGTTTTGTGACTGTTTTCAGCCCTTCAGAAATTCCACAGGGGACATCTCCCAGCACAGCATTGTTCCCTGCACAAATTACTTTTTCCTGACAGAAAACAGTTCTGTTGTGCTTGGCCATTATTAATACTGCCAAAAATTGCTTTGGTCCTAACAAATGCGTAATGCTGGTCTAGACAATGGGCTGCTTTGAAAAGATTAAACTTTTCTACTTAATATAATATTTCATGATTTTTGAGATCACTAATGGCCCAGTACCAAGTAATTATAGGGGAAATCCTTTAAGAATTTATACTGTCGGGCTATTTCTTCTGGAAGAATCAATTTACCTTACTACGACTTTTATGTTCATGAGCTGAAATTGCATAGAAGAATAATCTCAGACCAGTCTGGAGAAGTCAGAGAGAAATTATTTTATAGGTTTAGGCTGTTTCAGGTAGCTGGGCTGAAAGTAAAGCCTTAGGCAGATGTCATAGTTGGCTGGTGAAGTCTATAGGGACTCAAGAGAGACTCTCAGAAGGAAAACAACAATCTTTAGTACTGTGGTGAAAAACATGATTTGCAAATGGAATAACCATGAAAATGTAAGTTGGTTGTGTGGGAGTACACTAAAACAGACACCAAGAAAGAAATGGTTACTCAGACACTTGGGTGTACTGAAATTACAGTACTGAAGTACAGCTACTTGGAGAGGCAAGAAGTTTGCACAATGAACAATGACTACGGCAACTGTTATCCTTATACTCTTTTACAAGGAGGCAGCACACAGTGACGAAACACAGACATTAAGAACAGTCCTGACAATCTATATTGCAGATAAAATGTCAATTTAATTTCAGAATGAAAATTCTGAAATCTTTGAAACGGGCCATGGAAACATGTATTATTTGGATCATGTCAGCAACAGCAGAATAATAAAAAAATCTTCTTAATTGAAAGTTGAATTTCTTGGTGCTCCTGCTCAAGGGCCCACACAGACAGAAATCAAATAGGATTAAAGTCAACTACTTGCATATTATTTATGGATTTTTGTATATATGGACATAATACATGGGATCAAGCTCTATCATGGTAGTTAGCTACCAATAGCTCTGGAATATTCAATTAAGACAGCTGTGTTTTGAAGCAGGCATTTGCAAACTTATCAATAAGCCTGCTTGGGAAAGGAAGCCTGCGTAGAAGCTTGTTAATCAAATTATTTTCAGGAATTATTTATCTGTAGGAATTACTGAAGGCAGAATACTATTTCAATTAAAATAAGTAATCTGAGTTTATTTCAATTGTAAAAATCACTATTTTCACTATTTTTGTTCATATATGGCTACGCTATTGTCTTGAACATACATAAAATACTCAACGCACAGTTCAGTACTGTATTGCTCAAGTACTTTATCATGTTGTCATAAAGCAAATAATAAACTGTTAGAAAGCATAAATTAAATATAAAACTACTTAGTTGGTTAATACTATTCAACTAATTTGATTAACAATTACATAATTATTAGCATTTTATCTTTTTGGACTGTTTCCAAATGTGTTGGAATTTTCAGCAAAGAGACAAAAAGCTTAGCACTCAAAAGAATTTTTTCAAGTCAGAGTTAAGATGAACTGGTGAGGTTTCATGAAGAAATTTGCATCACTGATGCTCATACTATACACATCCTTTTGAAAGGGAACTTCAGTCATCCATGCTCCTACTCTCCTCTCTTTATACGAAGTATATTCATTCACACACAAGAAAATTCATAGTATGTGTGGGATGAGAGATGACAGTGTTAAACTAAAATAATTCCGTAGATAGACCCTTTTAATAATTTAAACTAAACTCCTGTGCCATTATAAACAAACTGTAAACTGAAATTGAATTGAAGTTGACATGTAAACAACATGTCAACTCAGGCAAGTAACAAGTACATTTATGATCCGCAGATAGTATCTTTATGAACATAATGGTTCACTGATGTTGTTTTTCTATAATGCATTGGGCTAGATGGGTATTACTATATAGTAT